TGGGGGGGGGGGGGGCACCAGATCGCTGATGTGTGCGCGTGGGGCGGTCCTCCAGCGGCTGGTAGCCAAGCTAGCGGGAACACTGGAAGTGCGCTTCCGGTTCCATGGCTGGTGGTCCCAGGGGCTTCGCATGCACCTGCGTGCATCCCAATGCACCGCCAGTGCCCCTAGTTTCACCTGCCTCAGCCGTACAGCCGCAGGAGCAAGTAGGGGATGCCTCGCATTTCCGTAAAAAGGGCATTAAGCCCCCACACCTCGGCGGGTCCTGAACCGCGCCAGAAAAACAGTGATCCCCAGGAGGCTCAAGGAAAACTGCCTTTAGGGACCCAGACACGTGGGTTCCCCTGCCTGCTTCCAAGCAAGGTATCCTTGGGAGCTCGCTCGCCTGTCCCCGGGTCATGATGCTGAGCAGCGCCCCAGCCCCTTGCCTGCCTCACTCCACGTGCCCCCCCCCGTCAGGCCGGAGACCAAGACGGTGGCCCAGCACGGGGCCAGACGCCGCCGCGACGAAGGCGGGCAGCGGGGTTGCGGTCCGGCCCCTGCGGCTTGGCACAAACGCGGGGCGGGCAGGAGGCCGTAGGCTCGCCCCGAGGCTGAGGCCGGACCCCCGCTCGGCGCCCACGTGCCCGCAGGGGGGGAGTGGCCTGGCCCCGCCTCCTGGCCCCTGACCCGGAAGCAGACGGCGGCGCTCAGGTGTGCCGCGCCGGCGCTGACCAGGGAGCGGCGGCGGCATGGCTCGGCCGGGCCGGGCGCGTACCCTGCAGGTGGTGGATACAGAGTACAGTGCGGACGCCGTGGAGTGGTGCCCTGTGGCCGGCTGGCACAGCGTGCTGGTCTGCGGCACCTACCAGCTAAGGAAGCCCGGCAGCAAGGTGAGCAGCGGCCCCTGCGCGCGGTGTAGGGGGGTGCCGCTCCTTCAGTTGTTGGGCAGCTGCTCACTGTTTGTGCAGCCCGTCTCTGGCTCACCTTGCACGTTTGCCAGGTGGGGACGTCTTCTGTGGGCCTGCGTCTCCTCTAGTTTGTATTGGCAGCTCTGACTTGAAACATGCCCTGTGTGCCCTTGTGTTTTTGCAGCGCTCCCTGTGCTCTAGGCACCCCCTTGGGCATTGGTGATGTGTAGGAGTGCATGTGCACCCCCCGAGATTGGCGGTGCACCCCTGCAAAAAGCGCTGCTGACACTGCCCCCCCCACTGCTGGCATCCCCAGTGACATCTGCGGGTGGCTGCTGACCACTTGCCACCCCTTCCCCCCTCCCACACCACCAACACCTCCACTTGCCACCCAGGATCCAGGGGTGCACAGTGTTCATGCCCTTGGCATATGATAGCACTTACTTCTTGTTCCCCTTCCCTGTAAAGTTTTTCTCTCTTACATACTCTGTGCTCACTTTCTTTGCTTATGGGGCCTGTGTTTGCTAAAGCTAGCTCTGCCTATAGGACCCTGGATGTGAGGCTGTTGTCCTCATCATGACAAGGTCTACTTTTGGGGAAATTACTTGAAATGGTGAGGTGGGTGGGAGGTGGGGTTCAAGCAAATCAACCAAAATTAACATCTGTAGATTTTATGGAAGGGGTTCTGGATCATAAATGTGTTCTGTGGTGTGGGTGAGTACGTGTGCGTGCATATGCACGTGTGCAAACCCCCTTAATTCAGGAGGGATAATTGTGCTCTAAAATGAGGCATATGTTTTTAGGGAAGGGGCAGTAAAAAGTCTGTTCAAGTGCATCTCTAGGAGTTGTCTGGAGGTCTTTTTGGTTGCTGCTTTGACTGGAAATAAGTTTTTAAGTCCTCCTTAGTTGTTAGTCACGTGCTGGACATGACAGAGCTAACTAGTGTATTGTGTTGCTTGGGGAGCTGGTGTTTTAGGGCTAGATCTGCCTTGAGATATGAAGCCCTGCAGGTGTTTGTTCCCATGAAACTACCTGTGTATTGAAATGCTTTCTGTTAACATGGAGGTATTTCATTGGATGCTGTCACACATTGTTCTTCTCTGATAATCACTGTAAATGTGGTATCACAGATTCCACCTTTGCTGTGTCCCTGTGACTAGATATGCTGTTGAGGTACTTGGTTAATAATCGAAAGGGGACTTGGGTGTGTCCATTTGTTCTTAAAATGCCAGCCTTGCAGACTAGGCCCTTGGTGACATCAGTTCAATCTTCAGAGTGCAAACAGATGTTCACTTTGTGCTGCCACCATAACTTATAGCAGCACAAAGGGAAAGCAGATGGACATCTGTACTTTTTGTCACACCACGTGCCCAAATGTGTGGATTTGACAGAAAGTAGTAATAATTTCTGCTCCTTTGTTGCAGCAGACATCCATCAGCTTTGAGGAGAATGTGGGCAGCCAAAAGATGCCTGTTCTCCAGCTGCCCTGGGCAGGCACTCCTGGGGTTCGAGGGATCTGATTCTGCGCTCCTTAGGAATTCCTGTGCAGGATCAAGCCACTCAAGCCCTGGTAGTGCCTGCCTGGTTTTCCCGTGCATACAAAGATGTGCCCTGGGGAATCTCTGGGGCACACCTCGGCAAGGAGGGAATTGTTGCCCATTGTCCTGCAGGATCAGTGGGCGGTGTGTGTTTTACCCAGCTGGGCCAGGACACATTCCAGCACAACTGATCCACGTAATTGGGTGACGTGTGTTTATGCTGTCAGTGTAACTGATTTAAACTTGATTAGCCATTTTGAGAGTTGTGCCTAACCTGGAATTGACTTCATTCCACCCTCCCGTGGCTGGCTGGGCTGTGCAGGACTATGGGAAGTAAAATAAAATTGAAAAACAATTCAGTTAAAGTAGTGTTTCTCAACCTGTGGATAGCAAAAGTGTATGAAAGGGTTGTAAACAAACTTTAAAAATGGATTCTCCTTTGAAGGAGATAAACACAGGAAACTGTGGCTTTTCCCTTGCGAGCTGGCAGAGTTCCAGCCTGTGAGGGGCTGCTTGCCCCCACACACAGGGGAGCTGGGGCCTGGGGGTGGGGCAGGGGCAGTGGGTTGGGAGTGAGGGGCACTGGGTTGGGACTAGCCACTGATGTTTACAAATGGGTCCTGGTATTAAAAAAGGTTGAGAACGGCTAAGCTAAAGCATGCGGCTCTGCCTTTGACTGCTTGTGGGCCTGGACTTGCTGAGTAAGGAGTGATCGTGTGTAGTCACTTTTCCAGAGCAGAATGCTACAGATCCATTTCTCTCAAACTGCTGGGCGTTGCCCTGTGGCGTTTGTGCTCCACTGGTTGAGACCACTTTCATTGCAGCCACACTGTATGCTGTGCTCCTTGTCTGTTTCTGAGAACTAAGCAGTGCTGGAATATAAAACCTCCCAGGAATGCCTAGTTTCAGCAAGAAGTGCTTATGGTAATTCAGTAGGTGGCACTCCTGCCTCAAGAAGACCAGTGCTCCCACCTGATGCTCAGCCAAGGGATTTTTTTCAGAAAAAAAAAATGCAGTGCACTGCTCCCAAACCAGAGGTGGTTCTGAAAAAGCCCCAAGCCTCTTTCACAAGGTTGGATGTATTGGCCTGTGTTTCTTAGAGAAACATCTGTTCATTCTGCCTTTCTAACCTCCTTGCCAGTGTAAGTGTATGTGAGAATCTAATCCTTCTCCTGTCCTGAGCTTTTTGCGAGCAATGGGGAGTACTGTTCCGTACGTGCTGCATTAAGCCCAGAGGTGTAGGAAATGATGCATACATCTCTTAGCTACTTCTAACCAGGGAAGCTTGTGGCCTGACTCTCCAGGCTTTCCGAGCATCCACAGATCTCATTGGTTTCAGCTGGAATTGTAGCTATTTAGCATTCCTGAAAAACATGCACCTGGGGTTTGTCCTCATGGCAGCTGCTGGTGTAACTGTGGCTTGTGCAGACCAGTCTGAGGTGGCTTTAAAATACACAGCTTGGTGGCTACTATGGTCCCTTTGATAGCTGCCAAACCCATGAAAGAAGCTGGGGAGATACTTAGATGGTTTGGCCTACACTAAGTTGTGGCCTGCCATGGTTCTGCTGCTATTGTAAGGATCACTTGGGTGTCTCTCTGAGATGCAGTTCAAACATATTGTCAAGCACTCTTCAAAGATCCCACAGCACAGTCCTTGTTGAGCTGGGAATGAAATACAGTGAAGCCTGGCTCAGTCTTGTGCTGGCCTTGTCACCTGCACTTTTACCAGCATCTGCAGCTACTCTTTTTAGTAGGGTACATGCAGTGGGAAGCTTTCACTATATGGAGGAGATGGGAGAAATGCCTCTTAAGTCTATAGTCTTCCTTTCTTTCTGTTCAATGCAGCCTGGCGTAAGCCCCACTGAGAGTGACGAGCCTCACGCCCGGCTGGGCCGCCTCTACCTGTATCACTACAATGAGGAACAGCCCTTCATTCCATTGGCTGAAATTCAGAGGATTGAAACTGCTGCTGTTCTTGATCTCAAATGGTAAGGCTTCCTGGGTGGGGAAGGGGACATGTTAGATCAGGGGTGGGCAAAATGTGGCCCGGGGGCCAGATGCGGCCCTCCAGGCCATTCTATCTGGCCCGCAGGGCCCCTAAAAAATTTAGAAAGTGTCTATGTGTCTGCCTGTCATGTGGCCCACAATGGCTTGTCAAAACTCAGTAAGCAGCCCTCTGCCTGAAATAATTGCCTGCCCCTGTGTTAGATGCTTATGACACTATTAAAGTTGGGCACCTCTGCATGGTATCCACTTAGGGGTCATTTTCTCTATGATGGTATGCTGTTATTGCCACAGTAATGAATAAGCTGCCTTCAGGGTCTCTGGTGCTGGGTTTAGCAACTCCGGAATCATTTTTCTTTTTTAGGGTAAAAATTCTGGTAGTCATTCATGGTAGCTGTAAGTGTGGGCATCCTGGCTGCACTGTACTGGCTGCTTAGCCAGCCTAAGAGCAGCTCTGTCAGCACTCTGAATCAGGAGAATTGAGTTGGAGAAGAAGTAGCAGCGGGGGTGCAAATACTTTTTTAATTAAAAAGGTTCAGAATTAAGGGTTCACTTGATGGCAGTGAGATCCAGGAAGTTAGGTGCCCAATAGGCAGTAAGAGCTGTGCAAGCCAAGAGGGTCACATTTAAGACGGGGAGCTGTCAGCAAGGTCTGGAGGCCAGGTATAGTAGAACTGTGGAGCCAGCAGGGAGACCTGGCTTCAGTCTTTCATGCAAGGCAGTCACAGCTGTTCTCAATTCTCTGCCTTGACTGCTCCCTCTTTTCCTGGGATTAGAGCGGAGGGAGTAAAGACGACACTTTCAAGCCAGTGTCAGTGAGCAGAAGGTTGCACTCATTCATCAGGTTGTTTATGAGCAGGGGTTTAATAAAAGTGGATGTCTCCTGGCCAGTCCACATTGGTAGCTTTTCTTGCTGCCCTCCAGAAAGGTTCCTGTCATACTGCCTGGCTGAGACTTGGATTTTCTTTTTAAAGTATTTGACCAATCCTGTTCTGGGCTGGAAGTGATGCAACTGTATTCTTCTTCTCTGTAAGACACGATTTTTTTAATTCAAGACCTGGTTATGACTTATTCTTTCAGGTGCCATGTTCCTATTGCAGAATATCCTGTGCTGGGTGTTGCAAATGCCAAAGGAGCTGTGGAGCTCTGCTGCTTGGCTGGAAGTGAGGTAGGAGGCTAGGAGGCAAATCACCACTGAAAAGAGCCTTAACACAGCTGATGTTTAAATTAGTAACATTCAAAGGCTTGTTAGTGTGATGCAAATCTGAGAATGGCTTTGTAGGACTCTGGCTGCACAGTACTTTCAATGACCCTAGGACAAATAATTCTTAAGTGTGGAACCATCAAAACAAAAAACATCAAACTACTTCTGACATCTCAGAGTTAAATTGATCTCTATCCATCTGTATGAGAGGGGAAACAAGAACAAAGCTTAGGAATCATCTGTGTGAGGGACATGGAACAGCTGCTGAAAGAGCACTGACAAATTAGTGCTATGAAAAGTGAATCATGAAAGCTGAAAGAGGAGAGAGTTTTGATGAGGAGACAGGTGGCTGTTAAAGAGAGCAGAGGGACTGGAGGCTGAGAGTGAGGAAAAGGCTACTGGGGACTAGAGATCAGTCTAATGGAGTGGAGAGAGCAGAAGTCATAGAAGGAAGGTGGAGAACTGTGGCTAAATGGGCCTTTCATTGAGCACCAAAATGAGGGAGCCGGTGATTGTGTGAAGAGAGGAATGAGTTGTGGTGAAACCTGATGAAATGGGAAGCTGGAGGAGCAGGAGCTCCAATGTTAGGGCTACCATATATCCTGGCTTTCCTGGACATGTCCTCTTTTGGGTCATCTGATCTCTGTCTAGATATTTTTCATAGTTCAAAAAAGTCCAGGATTTTGCTGATAGAACTGCATTTCCCAGGTTGCCATAGCAGTGTGCGTGTTTACCAGGGACCCAGGTTTTCTGTTTGTGGAAAAACATGGATTTTCCTTCTCAAAGGAGGAAACTGTAGGTTTCCCTTTGCAGGTTGGCAGCCTTCCAGCTTGCAAACAGCTGCTTGGGGCAGTTGGAAATAGGGGCGGCCACATGTTGTTGGGGACTGGGGTTGGGAGTGAGGGGCACTGACAGAGCCAGAGATTTGCAAGTTAGGAGTGAGGTGCCATGCCCCCCCCCCCCCAACACACAGG